TTGTCATTAATATATTTGTAAAAACATTTTTTGTTGTCTCTAACGACAGCGGCCAGATTGCGTTCTAGCTGGGCTTCTGCCTTTCTCATTTCTTCTCTGCACGACCTAACGAGATCCCTGTACTCTATACAGACGTGTCTAAGACGTATAGACATATAGACGTATCCTGCTGTAGGGCAGCTTTAGCTGCCACCGTTTTGGGAGATTCCCCAAAGCACCTTGATGACTCAGCAGCAGCAAAAGGCACGCTATGTCTTGAGCGCCACACTTTCTCAGAGATATTGCTGTTACTGGTATTAGGAGGATTCATGCCTGGGTGCTGGTTCTGAGTACAGTTCAAGTCTGAAGTAGCTGTTAGGCTGAAATGTGTTCCCACGTGCACACCCACGCTGCAGGATCCCTAACCATGAAGCAGAGCCTTACAGGACTCAGTGCCATCCAGACACAGAACAAAAACACTGCAGGAGAGACAGAAGGTCAGGCAAGAGGAGGAAAAATTAACATGACTAGCCTGGTCAGCAGTGGTCTCAGCACTCCTCTGACCAAGCTTGGGTTTCTGCAGCTTTCTAGGACAAGGAGCACGCAAAGGTTTGCAGATGTTCCCAGGCAGCTCCTTCTGAATGTGACTGACAACACTGGGGAAAGCCCCAAGATAAATTTATGAAAGTGTTTCTAAGTGGATGGCAGACCTCCCTGCCTACCCAGGGATGCAAACTGATACTTACAAGTGAGCAAGAGACAAACAATGTGACAGAGACAGATCAGGAGGGGTCTGGAGAGCAAGTAAGATCACCAGCAGAGGCTGGGCCAATGTAGGGCTGCAGAGATGTGACCAAAGCAGCAGGCAGGAAAAATGAGTGCTCTACAAGGAGAAGAGCGAGTCCTGTGTGAGGCCAGAGTGTTGCAGGAGTAAAAACACAGGAAGAGAGCATGGCCTTTTGCATTAGCTGCAAAGCTGCTATCATTCAAAGATGAATAAAAGAGGCCACATCATAGAGATGTGACACTTAAAGGATTCACCTGACACTGAGACAGCCTGGAAGCCTGAACCCAGCAAGACATACGGGATGACACTGAGGTTACTGCCCTGCACAGCAGGCAGATCTGGGTTTGCTGTCCATGGGGAAGGACAAGAGAGATCCACAGGACCTGCTGGCAGACAGCTAGAGGGAGGAGGAAGACCAGGTAAATGGAGTCCAGGATGCCAAGACTTCAAGCAGGGCAAGGCCAGCCACGCTTGAAAGGACTGACAGGTTGAGGGAGATCAAGTGAAAGGACCGTAACAGCCGTTAAGTCCAGTTAGAAGGGGATAAAGGGCAAGAGAATCACCAGACTGAAAGCAGTGGTCTCAGTCCAGGGCCAACAGCTTGAACAGCCACTACCAGAGCCCTGTGCTGAAGTTACCAGCCCCGCAAAGAGCTGCTTCTCTCCCTGTAGGTTTGGTGTGTCCCCCCACAAGGACTGGAACTAGAAACCGACAGAGGGAGCCAGGCCACCACTGACGCCAGCCCAAGGTCCAACACTCTCTGTCCAGCTAACACTTTCTCAGGCTGCTTCCATTCCCCTATCTTCAGGGCTTTCCTTTAATAAAGGTAACTGCCGCTGGCGAATGGGGATAGACAACTGAGACAGTGATATCTTCCTAGCCTGAGGAAAGGGTGCTCATGGCATTGCACTGGTTGCTAATCCCTGGATCTATTGGCCAATTTCAGTTGTATTTAACATCAGGTGGAAACCTGAGTAATAGAAAACTCCTGAGATGTCATTGAAATAGGCAGCTGGGTGGAGAAGAGGGACTTAAATCACAACTGCCAGGAAAGACAAGACTGCAAAGCCAGCTCAGTTCTGCTCTTAGAGGTGAGGCAACTGACATGCAAGTGACGACGAAAACTTGAGCAAGAACTCCTATCTCCCCAGATATCAGATAATTCACACCCACAGCATGAATCTAAACTTCTTCAGGTGTGCTATCTGCAAGATTATATTTTCCCCTTTGAAAGGCACAAGCAGAAGTGACGGACATGAAGGTAATAATATCAGCCCACAAAACCCTGCTGCATGTATGCAATCTAACCTGCAGCAGCCACAAAGAGGAACTCTTCTCTCTTGCCTAGAGATGTCCTCCCAGCACTCAGAGGACATGGCAATTTAATACCATTCCCTCTCCTCAGCCTGGCCCTGTGCACTGACGTACCACTTCTACCAAAGTAGAAGCACGCTAAAATAAACCAGGGAATACACAGCTTTCATTTCATTCTGTTCCTTATTTCCCTATGCCTAACTATTTCCTGCTGCTCTCAGTGTAAGATCTGAAGGTAAGGAGGAGGGACTGTCAGCACGGTCTCATGGGGAAGAAGGGAAGCGATTAGATTTGCAGGATGGCATGTGCTACCAAGTCATTTCTCGCTCAGCTCCGGTAGTGACACCCATCCTCCTTCATTGTCAGTAACCAAAAGAAAAGTGAAATAGAAGCAGCAGCAAACTCGTGAATTCCTACCTGGTTTCACGGTTATGTAGAAATCATATAAAATGTAGAAAGGTCCACTACATTATTTAGTGGCTTTCCTATTAAAAACAAAAAACCCCCACCAAAAAGAACCCCAACCCTCTTTTGAATCTTAGATCCTCCCACCTAGGAAAATCTCTAAGGAGAACAAAATATTTTACTAACAATTTACTAAGTAAGCCATTCCACTTTCCAGAAGATTTCACAACAGCACTCAACAAATTCACAGCAGATCCGCCAACTTAAGTAAAAGGCCTGTTAAAAATACATTCCTAGGAAATAGAATAGAATAAGGCCTTCAAGGAAAACAGCAAAAAGCTATTTCAATAAATGAAACGGCACTCTGCTGAAGGGCTTCCACTTGAGTTTAATTCTCACGTGAATCCTTACCTTTGAGCATTTCTCCAACACTTCCTCCTTGAACTGCAGGAACTTCTCCTGGATGGCGGGCTGGTTGAGAGCGAAGGACAGGAAGTGTGTGAAGGGCTGCTTCTTACGGAAGCTGTCCAGGAGAACGTCGATCCGCGTTCGGGCAGAGATGACACCACTGCGATGCTGCCCTGTAATCACTACAAGGAAACAAAGCAATACCTGTCTGGTTTCCGTGAAGCTACAGTGAGACTACCGACACCCATGCCCATGCAAAATAGAGAGTAATTGAATGGATCATGACTTCACATGATATTTATCCATGCACTTTAAAATACCAATATTGGAGGATATTGTGAAGGTAAGAATATTTCATCCAGGAGATGCCAGGAAGGAATTAGAAAAACCTGCACAACAGCACCTCTCTACTGTTAGCCCCAGGCTCACTGAAGAAGCGATAGGAATTAAAACCCCCAACCATGCACAGGGAAATCTCGACAGACTCCCTGCTTGACTTAAAATGCCTGACACGGCTGTGCTTTCCTCTGTAAAGACAGGATGATGCCATCAAAAATATCCCTCTGCTCTCAAGAAAGTCAGCTCTGAGTGCCTAAAAAACAATAACTAAAAGTCTATCATTTCAGTGGCTCTTAGATTTCTAAAGCATTATTTCAACTTTTCATAAAGACAGTCAAAGTGAAAAAGAAAAGAAAATCTATCAAAGATCAAGATGGCCTATATCGTTTGTGGATGCACTTCAAGACACCAGACAGAGAACACTTGAGCTTGAAAGGAAAGAACTGCAAGGAGCAAAATTTTCTTGGCTTCCTATTATTACATGTTTTCCATATCTCTCAACCTTCCTAATAGTCCTTCACGGTTCTCAGGAAGAAGTCAAGATCCACTTCTTGAGAAGTGCTACCATGTTCCTGCGCAGAATGACAGCTGGATCCCCCTGTCACTTACTCCTCACAGCTCTGTCACAAACGTAACTGTACACCATGCCAATTATCACCGGAACGTGCGTAAGGGGCCCTCCGGATATCCACTCAGGCAGAAACCTGCACAGGCCAGCCCTTATGAGCAACGCCTCCTTTCTTTTTAAGTCACTGGAAGCGATGAGAAGGAACATACGGTACAAGAAAGCCTGCTCTCCCTATCAGGATCAAGTGACAACACCAGAAAGGCAGCAACGCCATCAAAACACTTCTCATATTAAAGCAGATGCTGAAGTTTATTTCATGCATAAATATACAACACGGTATTTTTTCTGGATGTATATTGCAGCTTGTTATTAATGAAAATAGTATTAATTTAAAAACAAAACAACAATAAAACCCCCAACACATTCAGGCCCGAAGTCCTCAAGCCAGTCATTTAAGGCCCAGAAGTGACTTCAGAGAGACTATTTATAGACTTAAAATAGATGTATATTTTTTCCCCAAAAAAAAGCCTTACGCTGCTTTATAAGGATACATAGACAGAGAAAATAAACTCAGGAGAAAAGTGAAGTGATTTTCCAAGGGCCATAAATTGAGTCAGCGCCACGTCAGAAGCAGGAATTAAAGGAAAAACACTGCCTATGCTCCCTCCCCATTCAAATCGTGTCTGTGCAAGCGCCGATGAGAGAACACCCATTTCATGCATGTTAAAGCTCACCAATTTCTCCTTCCGCTCCAGGCTTGGGAATGCTGATGGAGGTTCGAGTCTCTGTTTCTAGTCTCTTCTTGGTTTCCCCTTTCTTCCCAATGATGTACCTGGAGGCATAGAAGTGCAAGAGAGTCACTCACTCCGTGTCACTGGGCCACTCTCCATCAAGTGTGTCCAGCCAGCAGATTAACCATGCCACAGGCAGCTGGGTCCCCCCAGATTCGGTATCTCCGTGCTAGAGGGATGCAGACACTCAGCCTCACGCGCAGGACCCGGTCCAGGCACAGAGGCTTCTCCCAGGACTCCACGCGTGACCAGCCTAGGAGCACAGGATGGTGTTGAGCCATGGTTCACAACTGGCTTAAACTAAAATAAGTCAGTCAGTCCATGACAGCTCTGCCCAGCACATCCTGCCACAGCTTATTCGTCAGCTGGGTTACCCCTTTTTCCCATTACCCCAGCTGATGAAGAACTAAGGGCTCTATTTTTCTGCTTTTTGCTTTGCTCAAGGCAGTCATTTGCCAGCACCCAAATACACAACAGAACACTCTTCCTTCTCTACATTTCAGTAAAACTATTCAACCAACAAAACTGTCAAAAATAACTAGATAAAGCTTTGAACACCACAGGCTTCCCAGTAAACATCAGATTGGAGTCAATAGTCAATTCCAGCCGTGTGTGCTTTCTCTCAAAGCTTTCACAAACTCCCCCTGCCAGGCTGCTCGCCCTAGTTCTTCCTCCCCTTCTCCCACCCTCCCTGATGCTTTTATGTTCAAGGGAAGAGATGCTCAAAAACTCTCCTGCCAGCAAGAAAGCACCACCTGCTGTCTCTGCCACAGGGAAGGCTAGGAGTCAAGCGTGGCCCAACTGCACTAGAAAGGCATTGCCAATTTTCCCTTCCCAAATGCTAAAATCCACATCCACAAAACGGAATACATTTTGGAGATCTGGCGCTTACCCTGACCTCAAAAAAAAAAATTCTGCACTCAACTGCTTCCCCAGCCAGCAGCAACTCAAATAAACCAGAAACACATAGGCTCACTTGTATAAGGGGCTGGGAACCTCCACTCTGCACTGGAAGCCTTTCTCAGTCTCTTCCACCACAAAGGCATCACAGGGTTCGTCTGCGCAGTCACTGGGGCCTACCAGAAAAAAACAACAGACCTTGTACAACCTCTGTAAAGTCTGGCAGTGCTTGATGTAGGACAAGTCTCACAGCCGCCTTCTCCCAAGGTTAAATAAAGGAAGAAATGGACTCCCCTCTGTTGCAGCTAACTGCTTTTTATTTCACCTTACCACCAGCTCTGGAAAACATAATGACTGCTTCTAAATCCACCGGGCTGGGAGGCGTAGGAAAGCGGCAGTTACAGCCCAGGTTTTCTCTCAGCTGAAGTTGTGCAACTACCCAGTGGGGATGGCCTCTTCTCCTGGCAGGGTGGAAGCCACCAGCCCATTCAAAGACCCGAGCAGGAATTTAAAGTTGCAGAAGAATACAAATAAAAGGAGACGATAGCTTTGGTTCAAGGGTTTAGGTACTGTGTTTTGGAAAACAGAGAAATTCTCACACCCTCGGCACGGAGGAATAGATGCACCTTTCATCCGTGGGCCATTCAGTCGTGCCTGTTAGGACCAAACGTGATTTCCAGAAAGAGGCCACGGTTTCTATCTCCTCTCCAACACATACAGGGAGGAATTTGGGTGGCAAGCAGCTTATTAAAGCTTTGTTCAATCCACTGAAAGGCAGGGTGGAGGGAGAAACAGGACACAACAGCCACAACCCTTTCCATCTGAGAAATAACAGCTGAGCTATTCTGTGCCCACAACTCATGCAGAACTACAACAAACATACAGGCAGAAAGATAAAGTAAAACACATCAGAACAGGAAGAATTATGCCCCCAAAACAGGTAACACCTTCCAAAAGCCACATTATAAGAGGCCAGTTCTTCAAGGGGCAAACATTGCAAGGACAGAGGATCTTTAGCGAGCAGCTTCCACTCCTGCCATATCTGCAAATAATCACACTACTGAAAAGAAAGGCACTTCAGGAACCTAGGGAAAACAGATCTACAGAGCTAATTTGTTTCCCCCTTTTACTGGAGATCTTTCACGGCCAGCAAGCAAACTGACAGTCAGCAGCACAGTCACCCCAACCCACATTAGGTAACCGGGATTACGTCCACTCTTTGGTCAGCAGGATCATCAGGGACCAACACAAAGCATTTTTCTCCCTCTTGAACACCTTGCTCCGCCACACGGGCAGGTCCTTGAGCACATAAAGACATCAGAGAGAACAGCAAGAGTTCCTTAGGCCCCCAGTGTCGATGCTTTCACCCGTAGCATGTCCTGACAGCACCTCGTACAGCACTCTTTACCTGCACAGAAATCCTCCTCCTCCTCCTCGTGCTGGTAGGCCTGCTCTTGAATGAGATTCTTCCTGTATATTCGCCCCCCGATCTTTATCAGGGTAGGCCGCAGAACGTCCATCCTGCTCCTCCTCCTAATGCAAAAACAAAGACAGCTTTGCTAACTTATGCCAAGGAAAGGTAAATTCTGATGTTTCCTGGTGGATAATTTGTAAGAGGCATCGGGGGAGCTCTGAGGGGCTCAGCAATAAAGAGCAAGGTCTGTACCTCCAGAAGAGCAGTAACTCCTCCTATACATATACATGAGAAATTTCAGAAAAGCAATACCTTCTCAAACCTTATGTCACTCGTTCAAAGACTAATTTTATGAGAACTTACAAGTATACAGCTTGTAAAGCACAATCAAGTGAAAATGGGAAATTTAAGCCATGTAAGATACGTAATGAAGCATCAGGTTTTTTGCCCCTGTAGGAAGTCTGCAGCTGATCACTGCTTTCCCTGAAACTCACAGGTTTTAGCTAAAACTCACTCCAGCTTCAGTCAATGTGCCATCTTAGCACCATTCAGGATTCTGAACGGTTTCTCCTCGTTATTTTCCACAGCTGCAGACCAAAGAGACCCCAGCCTCTTGCAAGGAATCCCCTACAACTCTGACCTCTCTCAAAATATCTGCCATCCTCACCAGTTTCTCAAAGGCCTAAGGTGCTTTTCAAAAGCAAACCCAGCCCCCTGGATCTGCTCGGGAGGCGGCTGGGGAAGGGGAACAAAGTGCTCTGGCCAGTGTAAGTGGTTACACCTCCTGCTCTCCACCTCCGAGCACCGTGGTAAGTTTGAGGCATACGCGTAGAAGGCTTACGCTACCCTGCATTATTCCAAACGACAGCAGAAACACGGGGCACCAAGTTAAACGTTTTACGGTGGAGAACATTTTATGGTGTAAAGGCAGCAGGACGATCCAAAGAACTGGCAGTCATCTGTCAGAGACTTCACATCTTCGGTACTTAGATTTCTACGTTCACTGAAATTGTTAACACTGGATACCTCAGTTTGCCTTAATGTTTTTAAAACAGAAATTTCTGTTACTCAGAAAACAGTCTCCACCAGAACATTCGCCTTTGTCAGAAGGTTTACCTGTCCACTACAACAGAACCTGACAGGAAAAAATGAAGAGCTTGCCTTTGAAGATGAAGCTATCCTAAATCGGATTTATTATATGGGGTGACATCAGGTTCAGAAGGTTAATGCTTTTCCCCTCAATGAAAGTCCCACCTTCTGAAATGACCTGCAACCACCTGAACTTACACCTGATCAAGACGGCATTTCTGTAGTTCAAGGAAAGAAGTGTAGATGTGAACTGTGCAGAGAGGAAGACGGAATACGCCATGAAAAAACACCCTGTTGCTGAGGGGGCTTTTGTTTCCACTCAGGCTTGCTTTTCCTTTTTTGAATTGCAGCGCCGGTGTCACCATTTCTTGGTACAGGACTTTTAAAAACTCAGGCGCGACTGTGCCCCACCACGCTAGCAAAGCCCGACGAGGGTCTGGGCTCTACGCGCACGCCACGCCACGGCGTGTGCCCGGGAGATACAACGCAGCTGGGGCCGCCGCCCGGGCGCAGGAGCGGGC